AAACGTTTTTAGTCTTTGCTAAGGGACTTACCTGTTTAATCGGCAAAGCCCTGAAAGTGCTGGAAGTGTTCAGCTTCTTGCCCACAATGTCCACATACACGTCGGACCGTTCAGGGACGATAATACTCTTCAAAGATCCACTGGGCATATCAGCAAAATCAGTAGGCAAAAACAACTTCAGAAGCGCGCCCCTGCTGGCCATCGAGGTATAGAAATAGTCGCTCAAATTATTCACAATGGAGACTGATAGGCCCCTAGCAGCTCCTGCCCCCATAAACTTCCTGATTGGCCCAGTAACGACCGCTTTGTTGCCACTCGAGAGGCTTGAAACAAAAAATCCTGTTGCTGTTGATCAGATCATCCTCCTCATACTCACAAGGCGGCCTCTGGAGTATCACGCACATAATTGAACACGCAACACAGCCCACTATCAGTAAACCGCATTTGAAACAAGTCGGTGCAACTATAAGAAATAGAGTTCCAAGTGCAGTTGTGCAGCAAATCCTCGCAAGGTGTTACCAAGGAGGCCAAGCGACGAATCATGTCCTCGTCACTGGTTCCTCCATCCAACTGATCCAAAAGATCCTGCAAAGTCTGCAAGTCTTCAGCTCCAACGTTGCTGTAGTCGTAAAGGTTGCCCAGAAGTCGGGTCATGTTCAGTAGCTTGTCCCGACCCAGATTGGATACGGTGCTTCTACAATACAGGAATTAAGAAAATTTTTGCAGTTGAGGCTCCAGATAATCCCTACAGTTTATTGGCCAGCTCTACAGCTCGATGTTTGCTGATTTTGTTGATCTCGCAAATTGCTATGCCAGGAAACTGGATTTCGGTGATCGGAACAGGCGCTTCGATGTTAATGTACATGGACTCCGATCTGGAATCTTCCAGAATCGTTAAGGTGATGGCAACAGTGCCGGCAATGCCGCCCAAGAAGCACAACACCCACAATAGTCTGGAAAATCAAGAAGATTTTTTTTTGCCGGCCAGGACACTTGTTCTAGTCATTTTTCCGTCGGTTTAAAGGCATCGGCGTGATATTGCGCATACTTTAAAGCTACGTTCATCCATCCATCCATCCATGAAAACAATAATATGTTGGTGCAAACAGAAGGAAAAATATGTATCAAAGTTATGGGGGGACCTCTTTGTGGATGCTTCTAAGTCCCTCTATCAACCACGATTAAAATGTAAAATGTCCAAGAAAAATTCATAAAATTGACTTGAAAAGACCCATCAGGAAAATCTACGCGCAATCAAATAAAACGTGAAAACACAAACCTGTTCAGCTTGATTTCTCTGCTAATAAACCCGACGGCAGGAATGGTGGTGTTTCGGCAAAAGCGCCTCCAAATGCTTGCAGCTTCGTCCATTTTCTCCCATTCAATATTGGGCCAAGCGTGACAATATTGACTGCCATTAGTGGAAAACATCAACATTTAGATGCTATCCGTGCGAAAAGACATCAAATCTAATGGGCAAACATCGAAAATAGACCATAAAGTGAGGAATTAGTTTAACGACATGTCCGAGCTTGAGCAAGAACAATGCGAATCCAATAGCGTTCATTATGCTGGAGCCGAAGGAAATGGACACATAGCGATCAAATGTGCCCAAAAATGTTAGCTAAGGCTTAGTAAGGGCTAATAAGCTAACTAAGCTAGCGATATGAGCAGTTGAAACTATTGCCACAAGAAAGTGGCGACCAGCTTGGCCCAAACCACAGCAATTTCGACCAAGTTGATGATGCTGATTCCCATTATAAAGGAAAGAATCCCGCCCACTGTACCTAAAAAAGAATCTTAAACATTTAGGCAAGTGACTAAACCCCACTTGGTCTCACTCAGCGACTCAAACCACATGGTTGCAACCCTTTTCTTGTAGTACTTCGCTTGTCCATTTCCAGAAAAAACGTGCACTCGGGAACTGTTCCTGGAAAAGCCCCCAATAACCCCAAATTCAGGGAAATTTGGCAAACTTACAGATAATCTGAGCCCGTATGGAACTCCAAGTAACTCGTGCTTGTATCATAGAGAGTGTCGGCGCAGTTCGGCAGACAGTTTTTGCACACAAGCGAGTCCTCAAACTCAAAACTCAACTCCACCGCAAGCGGGTCCTCCAGTGGGTAGTACCTGAGCCATTTGCCTGCAACATTCCCTATTGAGGGCGAGCAATTGAGGGCTCCAGCTCAAATCTCACCGCTGAATTGACTCAAGCAGGCAAGATTTTTGAGGTTGCAGAAGGTGACGCCGTCCTTGTAGGACTGAGCCGAAACGGGCAACATCACTGGGATGCAATGGCAAAGAGTGACGATACAACGCAGGCGACATTGCACCAAGCAATTGCTCATTGTGTACGCTCCGAATGCTGTTGGGTCTTCGTCGGTAAATTTGCATTTTCTCTGGAAAAATCAACTTGAAGGTGTCTGAACTTAGTCAATGAAGATTGATGGATCATTGTGGACAAACGCAAGAATGAAGAGAAAGTACATTCACTTGGTC